AGATCCCCATGGTGAATGGAACATAGCGACCACAGCTCAGGGATGGTCTGCAGCAGCCCTGCAGTGCATGCGAAATCATGACCAGCAGGGTCCAAGGAGCCCTCGTGGGTGGGTGGGAGTGGATGTGGACTCTGTGTGACAGTGCTGGTCACAGGCTGTCTGCTTCTCAGTGTGTTCCAGGAGGGAGCGGGCACGGCTATCCATGGGATGCATATCCTGGACATCCAGAGCGGCCCTGGCCAGATGCCATGGACTGTTCACTGCCACAGCATGCACAGAGGCGCGGTGGGAGACGGACACACCACGGGGACCAGATCCGGGCATCCTGGGGATGCACCCGACCGGAAGTGCGATGAACTTGTGCCCAGGGGGTGCTGCTGGCTGCTGGCTGCAGGTCAGTGATGCCCATATCACCGATGGGCAGCCCCTGCAGAAGCATTGGCCACACCCACTCTGCGAGCCCCGGCTGTCTTGCCCCAGGGAAGTAGGCCAGCCCGTCTGAGTCAGCGCGAAATAAGGGGTCTGCGGCGGCGCACCGCAGGCAAATCCAAACCATCTGGACGCTAGACTCGCGGTGACCGCTTGTCTTCTCACAACACTTTCCACAGTGCTGCGAGCAGCACACAGCCCTCCCTCAGCCTCAGCTCAGACTCCCCGCAGATTTACTGCCCCAACCCCCGCCCTCCTCAGTGCGTTTCTGTGCAAAAGCGGCCTGGCGCCCCTCCCCCCAGGCGGCCGCACACCTGCCTCAGGGTGTTGGAATCTGGTCAGGCTCAGGGACAGAGGGTCCCCAGCACAGTGGGCCAGCAGGTCAGCTCTGAGCTGCGAGGGCTGGCAGTGCAGGTTCCCAGCCACGGCTCTCCTCAGTCCAGTTTGAGGCAGAAGTGGGGAAAAGGGACACAGCAGGCAGGGCCTGCAGGGGACATCCCGCTGTCACAACTGCCCGTGAGCAGCAAACCAAGGCTTTGACCCAAGAAAAGCAGAGCTGTCTTTTTTTTTTTTTTTTTTTTTTTTTTTTT